GTTCCCCCCGTGGTGACACAGAGGTGTCCCCCCCCAGGTCAGGGGGATGTGAAGGTGACCCCAAGGGGCGGGGTCAGGGTGACACGGAGGTGCCCCACACGGGGTGCCCACGGTGACCCCAGGTGTGACCCCAGGGGGGTGGCAGGTGCCCCCCTCACCCTTCTTGCTGCGCTGCAGGATCTCATTGGCCTCTTTGAGGGTGACACCAGCCGGGGCCACCACCAGGTCCCTGCGCTTGGTCATCACCTGGGGACACAGGGACCTGTACGTCACTGTCACTGTCACAGGCACTGTCACTGGCACTGTCACCTGTACTGGTACTGGCACCATCACTGTCGTTGTCACCAGCACTGTCACTGTCACTGTCACTGGCACTGCCACCAGCACTGTCACAGGCACTGTCACTGTGTGTCACTGGCACTGTCATTTCCATGGCTGCTGTCAGGGGGACTGGCACCGCCACTGTCACTGTCACAGACACAGTCACTGGCACTGTCACCAGCACTGTCATTGTCACAGTCACTGTGTGTCACTGGCACTGTCATTTCCATGGCTGCTGTCAGGGGGACTGGCACTGCCACTGTCACTGTCACAGACACAGTCACTGGCACTGTCACTGGTACTGTCATTGTCACAAGCCCCGGGGGACCTGGGGCTGCTGTGGGCAGCCCCCCTGCCCCACATCCCACCACCCTCCGACCCTCCCCATCCCACTGCCCCCCGTCTGCCCCCCGTGCCACACCGCTGTCCCTCCCTGTCCCTCCCTGTCCCTCCCATTGCCCCCCTGCCCCACATCCCCCCGCCCTCCGACCCTTCCCGTCCCACTGCCCCACATCTGCCCCACGTGCCACACCACTGTCCCTCCCTGTCCCTCCCTGTCCCCCCCGTGCCCCTCCCGCACCTCGGCCAGGGGGGTGCCCCTGTCCCGCTCCCGCAGGAAGTCGATGTCCCGGGAGGTGACGATGCCCTCGAGCCGCCCCCCCAGGCGTCCCGAGTGGGTGACGGGGACCCCCGAGAAGCCGAGCCGGGCCTTGGCGTCCCACACGTCCCCCACGGTGTGCGCCGGGCTCATCACCAGCGGCTCCGTGATGAACCCCTGCTCGAACCGCTGCGGGAACGGGGGGTCACCGGGGGGCACCCCCAGCAACGGGGGGATGGGGGGACCCCAAGGAACAGGGGGACGGGGGGGGACCCCCAGGAACAGGGGGCGAGGGGGGACCCCCAGGAATAGGGGATGGGGGGCACCCCCAGGAACAGGGGGACAGGGGGCACCCCCAGGAACAGGGGAGGAGGGGGGACCCCAAGGAACAGGGGGTGAGGGGGCACCCCAGGAACAGGGGGTGAGAGGGGACCCCAAGGAACAGGGGACGAGGTGGGACACCCCCAGGAACAGGGGACGAGGTGGGACACCCCCAGGAACAGGGGGACGAGGGGGGACCCCCAGGAACAGGGGGACGAGGGGGGACCCCCAGGAACAGGGGGATGGGGGGCACCCCCAGGAACAGGGGGACGAGGGGGGACCCCAAGGAACAGGGGGTGAGGGGGCACCCCCAGGAACAGGGGGTGAGGGGGGACCCCAAGGAACAGGGGGACGAGGGGGCACCCCCAGGAACAGGGGGACGAGGGGCGACCCCCAGGAACAGGGGACGGGGGGCACCCCCAGGAACAGGGGACGAGGGGGGACCCCAAGGAACAGGGGGTGAGGGGGGACCCCAAGGACGGGCCCGGTGACGGCCCCCAGCTCATCGTTGCTGGTCACCGGTGGCAGCAGGGTGTTCCCCCCAAGGAACAGGGGGACAGGGGGGTCCGAGGGGGATGTCACAGGGTGGGGACCCCCCCCTTACCTTCACCTTGCGCACCTCGCTGGCCTGGAACTCGGGGGTGCAGTTGTGGTGGATGATGCCGATGCCGCCGTTCAGCTGGGGGGGCACGGGGGGGGGGCATGGGGGGGTAAAGGAGGGGCTATGGGGGGGCAGCGGGTTCCTGACCCCCGGCAGGGTGAGCGACAGCACAGCCACGGCCCCCCCCCATCTGCCCCTTGCACCCCTCTGGGACTGTGCCCCCCCCCTGCGGTTCCCCCCACGTGCCCCCCATGGTGCCCCCCTCTCCCCCAGGTCTGTCAGGGCTCCCCTTAGCCCAGACCCCCCCCAATCCCCTGGATGCCCCCTCAGAGCCCCCTCCCCAAGATGCCCCCACCTCTGTGGGGGGCCCTCCCCTCCCGTGCCTCCCCCCCAGTGTCCCCCCAGTGCCCCCCCCGTGCCCCCCCACTCACAGCCATGGCGATGGCCATGTCCCCCTCAGTGACTGTGTCCCCCAGTGTCCCCCCCGTGTCCCCCCAGTGTGCCCCCAGTGCCCCCCCGTGCCCCCCACTCACAGCCAAGGCGATGGCCATGTCCCCCTGTCCCCCTCGGTGACCATGTCCCCCCC